AGTTTTTGAGATATCGTTCCGAAATTTCGCTCCTGTCCTTTTCTTTGTAAGAAGCTGCTCATATCGGACCACTATAGCATATAGCTGCCATATAAACTGAGCGAACGGAACGGAGTGTTTGTAAAGAAAGATTTTCCAATATATCCAGAGATATCTTCCCTTAATTGAACATGGGGTCTGAGGCAACAATGCTATATCCAAAGAAATTGTTCAAATCGAATCACTATAGATTATAGCTGCCATACAAGCTTAATGATGGAAATCAAGTTCTTGTAACAAAAACTGTTTCATTACCTAAAACAATAATGCTATATCCGAAGAAATAGTTTAAATCGATTGACTATAGCATATAGCTGACATAAAAATTGAACGTTTGGAATCAAGTGTTTGTATGCAAAACTTTTTTATTTGAAGAGACATCTTCATTAAATTTGGCACGATTTTTTTATCCAAAACAGTTTCGAAATCTCCGCAGAAACTATTCAGATCGGATCACTATGGAGTAGAGCTGCCATATAAACTGACCTATCGAAATCACGTTCTCATAGAGAATTTCTGGTATTTGTGAAGAAAAATATACAAAAATATTGGAATAAAAGTTTGCCCATATAAATAAATGACATATAAGAAGTAGGTATACATATAGTTTCACTTCACAAATCGAATGAAATAATCTTCGACAAAGCACCTCCTTATATTTACCGATCTAAAACTCTTATCTTCTTAATTTTTTTTTTTTTTTTTTTTTTTGATTTTGAAAGTTTTTTCATTAGAGTTTTACATCTTGCCACTTATAATATGTATATATAGAAGTAAATAAAGATGTTGTTGGATGTATGTGCCTATAAATCTCAGTTGCGTCACTCCTCAATTACTGCTCATTATTTGAATCAAAATACTTGATTTTCTGCTGGCTATTGTGTATCTTCGTTGACTTCCTGATTGCTAAGTTTATACAGCAAAGCACTTTGCTTTTATTGCTGCTATTATAGGTACTAACGGTAGATACACTAAGAGTTTTTTGCGGTGAACGAACAGTGAATTGATGGGTACATTCATTCCATTTTATGAAGACTTTTATGACGCCAGCGCATGGGCTCGTAAAAGTTCATTTATTTCGTATGTGACTTTTTCATGCCTGTTAATATGAAATTGCAGTGAATGTGTGCTTGCAACAAAAAAAAAAAAAAAAAAAAAAAAAAAAAAAAAAAAAAAAAAAAAAAAAAAAAAAAATAAAATAAAAAATAAGTAAAAAAATAAAAAAAGTGTACAACATACCACGCATCTTAATATTGTATATATATGAAAATCCTATAAAATGTACGGCATATTTTTCCATATCAAGCGAAAGTCAAGTGGAAACCCACAAAATTGAAGAATATACTAATAAGAGAACACTAAGCCAATATTAGTTAAAAAGGTAAACATCAATATATTAAAAAGAGTTTAGTGCTGCAGTATATTGAGCTCCAAGGCTGTTGTGCGTTTTTATGGCAAAGGAAATTTATAGCTTATTGACAAACCCTTTTGGCCATAGTAGTGCTTACTATTGCCACTTTGCTACGCAATACATTCTTTGCATCATAATCATATTTACTGTTTATTGCCTTATTGCCGCCTTTTCTGTTGGGAAAGGCTCAAAGTGTAAATGCTTACTAATTCGTTCATGAGCCATAAACCATGTAAACTCACTGAGTACCCCTTGCTAGGGAGGGCATGTAAGCTAAACGAAATGTATATTTGTGGTTTTTGCTTTCTGCGTTTGCTTTGCTTATTATAAAATATTTATTTATGTTTTGCTATGACTGCGCTGTTGCTGTTCAAATGCCGCACTACTACTGTGCGCTTACTTAGTACCAATAAATATTGCTCATACGCCGCGGCGACCAGCTATTTGTGTAATATAATAATGCAAATGTTAATTTTGTGTGGTTGTGTGGTATGCGTTCGTGTTTTTATAACGCCAATAATTTGAAAACAGCTGCATTAATAATTCGATTTTGCATTGAGATATTTATTCGTTAGATTAAAATAAACAATTCCGCTTGCAAGTTCATTCACTAGCACTAGAGTGGAATTTAGTAGCGGTGCATATTTACGATTCTGTTTAATTCTTCATAGACATGTTTATATATTGGTATTTACTTTTGGTTAGCTGTGTATGGCGCACTATAGCGGTTTATATGTTTGTTTTCTTTTAAATAAAATCTTTATCCACTTAACGAGATGGTCATGTGTGATCGTAAACAACATAAAAACTTGTCTGTACTCGAAGCACGATGCATGATTATTTTTGTGCACTTTTAGAGTAGACTCAACAAGAAAAAAACTTAATTTTGGTTGCACTGAAGTTATAATACTAACGCAAATAGAAAAGTTTCCTTGCAAGAACTTTGTTCAGTCACTTTGTGATTTATCGATAATACAGATTTAAGTTATTTCTTCGAATATAGTATTATTACCTTGAGTAATAATCCTTGCGAAATTTGATGAAGATATCTCGTCAAATGAAAAAGTTTTTCATACAAGCACTTTAATCCCATAGTTCAGTTTATATGGCGATATCGGCCATTCCGTCAAATGAGTAGCTTCTTAGTGAGAAAAGAACGGGAGGAAAATTTCAGATCGATACCTCAAAAACTGAGGGACTACTTTTCATATACAATCGGATGGACAGAAGAATAGAAAGACGAATCTGATTAAATCGACTTAGCACAATTAGTATTTTACTACTTCGCATTAAAAATTTATAAAATCGGTTCATATATTCTCTTAATCCACATATGGCGATTGTACTAATTGGCATATATTGTGCTGTTGCGGTTAGTTCAGTGGCGTAAACAAACAAGTTATATCTTAGAAAAGCATGACAAAGCTACTCTGATAGTGGTACAGTGCAGAGTCAGCAATAATACAACTGCAAGGTATTCTAATAGTGTCGGTCTCTATGTGCATCCATACATACTATATAGTATGTCTCCTTAAGTACATGCGCTGCATTATGAATTTGCAGCTGACTGCTTTTAACTCGCACAAAATACTCATAATTACACACGAAATGACAGCAATTTCAAACGACAGATACACACATAACTCATCATACACAAGTGGCTGCGTATTTGAGCACGCATGATAAATACACACATACACCACCAAAGCACAGCTTGGAATTTCGAAGATGTCACATTGCGTAGCATTGCTTACGCGCCAGATTTTGCGAATTTCTGTCCTCAAAATTTATCATTTGTTGTCAGTGGAGTGTCCTTGTTCTAAAAATATATACAGTTAACAGAATTTCGGTTATGCAATTTAAAGGGGTGAGAGGGAGACAGCGGCATGAGTGAAAGCATAAAGAGATAAAATATGGGTTTACGATTATCAAATAGTAATATAGGCTTAAAACTGCAATTTTTTATATACCAGTATGTATTTATGTGGCTTTTATGGCTATGTGGTCGAAATTTTGGTTCGCTTTCAAATAGTAGTCTAGATATGTGAGATTTTTATTATATAATATTTTTTGGCTTAGTACTCGCATATAATTACTAAAGCGGGCTCTTTTGAGTACATAATTTGCCGAAATACCTAAAAAAGCTGGGGTTCTTCGTGAGGCTGCCTATATTGCATACACAATACAACTTCCGGTTATCCTAAAGGTACATGCAATTTCGTCCGTCACTAAAAGATTTTTAATAGGAGGTCAATTGTCGAAAAAATCTATAAAATGAAAATATTTAAGTTTCCATCTATGAATCGCTGCTGAATCGCAATAAAATTGATGTACTTCTGAAGCGGCTAATTAGTGGTTATGATACGTGGGTCACTAGCAACAAACGTCAATCGAAAAAGGACCTTATCGAATCGAGTTGACACTGATCAAACACTGACTAAGCCAGGATTGTGGGTCAGGAATGTTTTATTATGTGCTTGGTGGGATTTGCGGAGAATCATCTAAGTTGTGCTATTCCCCAAAGGTCAAACACTTAATACGGACCTATTTTGCTAACAATTGAACCGTCGGAAGAAAATAAACGATCCGAAGGACCTACAATAAGAGAGAAATGGTGGTCCATCAGCGTAATGCCAGGCCACAGCGACTGGAAAAATCCTCCGTCGTGATGGCCATCAGAGCTTTCGATTCAGCTTTTATATCATCAATTGAGTCAAAACGGTGTCCTGGGAGTGGTCATGTGAATTTGCTGAATAGCCAGAAGTTACACGAAGGTAATTCAGGCGAATGGTGGTTGCGGCGCGATATTAGTTTATTATCGAACTTCTTTGTTCAATAAATTCAGACAAATTAAAAATCGAAGATGTCACTAATAGTACTACCTACTTAGAGGAAGAAAATTTACCGTTTCGGAAAACACGATCCCAGTAGTATGACCATTGGTTTGTGGTGGTAGAAGTAGCATGTATTTACGGCAAAAATCCAAAATAAAATCCACCACTATTAGTCTAAGTAATATGTATGTGGCTTTCTAACTTGTTGTGTTGTGGCAATGCGTTTATGTGTCCACAAATGCCACAAATCAAAAATTAAACCAAATTTTGCTTTGCACATACTTTTCACTCTCTGTGTGTGCCACATACCAAGCTGCAGTGTCAGTTATAATTTACTTGTTTGCAACTTGCTTACGCACCCTTACGAGGTTTTTGGTTTCAGCTTGGTGTCCTTCAGCTTAATTGAAATGCACTTGTGGCCAGCAGAGGACATTGAACGCAACATTGCAATTTAATTAGGTGTGTGGGTGTGGGTATACTATATATGTATCCAATATATACACAGGCGAAGGGTTGGTTTTTGTTTATAATACTTTTGTATGGAAGCAAGAGTCTATTTAATTATAAAAATCAATAACTAAATTTCATGTTAAAGAAAAGTGAAACATAATATTATTAACAATTTTACTTAATCCAATTTTTTTTTTAATTTTTTTTCTGAATGTTTTGTTTTGACATCGAGAATCATGTAAACAGCTGCTACAACAACTACTCACCTGCAACCGACATCCATTCATTTACTGCTTTAGTTGAATAAACGATTTCTATTTTCGAAATAAACTTTTTAGCTCGCTACGGGCTACGGGCTGCGTGTCGCTCCACTTGCTGAGGCGCGTATTTTTATTATTTTGTTTTACACACACTTAAACAACATATATTATCGTGTAATGAGAACTTATGCACTGTATTATGTTGTGGCTATGTTAAAACGTAATTGTTGTCGTTATTTTATAATTTTGTGATACACTAAGACTTTACTTTTATGCTATTTTATGGATTGAACTGTAAAGATTAAAAAAAAAAAATTATATAAAATTTATTTAATTTTTTTTATTATATTTAATTTAATTAACTGTGATAAAAAAATACCTAAATTATGTTTAATTTTTTAAATTATTTTTAATTAAATTAACAGTAAAAGGTCAAAAAAATTATATAAAATAAAAAAATTATATAAATTATATTTAATGGTTTTTTTTTTATATATTTAATTATTTTTTAAATTATATTTAGAATTTTATTTTTCACTTAAAAACAGAAGTCGTGTTTTGCTGTTTTTGTTGTATTTTTTGTTTATCCATAATGCACACGTTTTTGGATATCTTTTTTCTATTTTTGTTAGTAAAATGCCGCTTCAGCTGGCTTGCACTTGCTTTTATTGCCGTGTTTACTACTAATACAAAATTCAAAGAGAGAGAGACCGAGAGTATGTGTGCAAAAGAGCGCGCGCAGTGATATGATTTTCCAGTTCAATGGCAGTGTGCATAATTTATATGAAGCAGAGCAAAAAAAAAAAAAAAAAATTAAAGTTGAAGTTTAACATACGAGACTATAGAGAGCAAATGCTCTCATTCGCTTAAAATATAATTTTTCCTGCTTCCTTCTGTGTTTTGCTGACCTTTACGCCACATATGTGTACATAGCACCTTTTTGAACCATGCTTTCAGACCTTTGCTGTAATAAGCATATACTACTTTGAGTATTCTTCACATGCATATTCTTTGCTTACAAATTTGCCTTTTCAATTTCTAAAATCCAATTTGAACTTAACTTTTACTTTTACCAAAAAAGCTTTTATCTGGCTTAGCAGCAATTCACGTAGCTCACTGTATGCTGTGTTTAAACATACAAATGTTGTACTACACGCATTCACACACACACACACACACACATACACCTACTCAGGCATACAGTTGTGTTGAAAGCTGGTGGCTTCCTTGCACAAGTGCTGCACACTTTTGTTCGCTGAAAATCGAAAAATGCCAAGAAGCTGCTAAATTTCACTTTTCCTACACTTGCGACACATTTGCATTCGATTGTTGTTATTTTTGTTTTATAACACACTTTCCTTAAGCTACAACCAATTGTAATTGTATATATTTAAAGTACCAGCTGAACCAACAAAATGCCACATCCGTCGACACGTCCACTTCGCCCTGTGACTCTAACTTGAATGATTGAGCGGCCTGTGACCACAGAATTCATCGGCGGCCGAATATGTGCGTGCCACACGTATATTTGTGTGTGTGCTTTATGTGCTCTGCGAGTGTATCCATTAAGTTTATATTCCACTGACACGCAACAGCCCTTGCTGCGTGCCACACGTGTCCTACAAGCTCATTTGACTTTTACATGTACTCTCCAGCTGACACAGAGAGTAACGGAAAATTTCCAGTAACACTTACTTGCTCACTTACTTTTCAACGATCCAACACACACACACACGCTGGCGCAAGAGAAAAGCTTCGCTGTTGTTTTCGGTATTTTCCTTTTTGTGCGGGCGCATTTTGCCTTAAATGTGTTTTTGTCAGTCACAGCTGATTTGTGCTTTTCGTGTTGTTGTTGCTGTTTCGCTTGCGTAAAGGGCGCAAATGGTAGCATGCTGGTGTGGTGGCGTTGTGTGGAGAACTTTTACCAGCGAGCTCATGCAGATTGATGACGTTTGAAAAGCAACATAAACAAAGCAAATACGGAAATGCTACGCTATCGAGTCAAATAGGGAAAATGTTCAAAAAGTAAATGTCAACTTAGTTTTAAATTTTTTAAAATTTGTGTATTTTCATGGTGTTGGTTTACTTGTCTTTTGTTTTTTAAGATAGAAAAGTATTTTTTTTTTTCATAAGTAAAAGTCGATTGTAAAATTGATTACTATTTTAATTTTTTGTTAATAATTTAAATTTTCTTTTTAATTGGATTTTTTTATTTATAAAAATATGCTATGATTATCGGACTAATTTGTGAGTTATTGAAGTTAACCTTAACCAACCTAGCGAATCCTAACGAAGAATGTAGGATAACTTATACAACGGTTAATAGTCGAAAATCGTTTTACATTTCTAAAATTTCTAAAATATTCTAATTAAGATCTTTTGAACCAATTTTCGAAGCACTTTTGTCACTTTGGATGAAGTATCACCAAAACATATGCTCTGATCGCATCAACTACCTCTGAAAGGTGCCTTAAAATATTCATGTCTTAATTTATTCTCTTAATTAAATGAAGTCATCCGATGAAAAGTCGGGACTATAATTCGGATTAGTTATGAAATCAATGTTTTAAGTGCTCAAAAGTGGATATTTGAGAAGTCGCATTGTCGCGATTTCTTGAAAGACAACTGGCAAATAAACGGTGGTGCATTGCCCACAATTTATTGTTCTGCGTTTGTGTTTCATGCGCAAACAACTTTTATTGGTTTCCGCTCGTCTTTAAACCCCCTTGAAACAGTTGAGTGCTGTTTACTTTCGGGTTTATACGCATATTTCACTATTCACGAGCGTTTTTTGAGCGATTGCAAAATTGTTTAGGATCCAATGAGAACACTTTTTTACAGTTACATCCAAAAGGTATAATCAATTTTAGTTGTCTTGAATTCACTTTATGTCATATGACGATCTTGTAATATTAGTTTGCGCAAAGCATCAATTTTTTTCGGAACAATAACTAGTTTTGGACGATCGTCCCAAAATTCATCTTCGAGTGATCTACAATCTCGATTGAATTCATCACACAATTCGCCAAAGGGCAGGGGGTAGAATGCGCCCGCGGTAAGGTATGCCTGTCGGAACAGGCGACTAAAATCCAATATGCAATATGTCTGCTATTTGGCTTGCCTCGAAATATCAACATAGTCCTGTCAAAATAGTGCTATAATACTCAGCTTAAACTGATATTAAAGACTTTGAATGAGTTCCTTCTAGTAAAAAGACATTTGAAGTTCAAGTGGCAAATGTGTCCAGCTATTGAGTTTGATGGGTGCTCCACTGTTAGTAACAAAAGCTACACGGTCTGACCGGAGACTTCAATCTGGTACTACAGGGAGCGGTTACCTCTTGGAGTTCGCTCCAATCTGTTCATTAGGTTTGGCCGGCCCTTTGTGAAGATTCGTGGTAGCTATGGTTACTATGGAGTCGCAGAAGTTTTAGTTCGTCCTTGAACCATACTAAGGTAAAAAAGGTGTCCCTTCCCCCTAACCAATTAGGCCAATTGGTTTTGATGTATGTGCCTTTAAGCATCGTGAGATTAGGCCGTCAGCGGCAGGTGTATTCGCCACATCATCGACCACTGGCCCTTGATAGAACATCATCGCCAAACATTGAATTAAGTGACAAATTTTCAAAGTTTAGTTGCATTTCTAACCGAGATGATTATTTTAAGTTACTGTAAATAACATAAGTAGCGCGCGGAGGACAAAAGGTTCTTGGTTTGTATAACATGAAAAATGTCAAATTTTACGATATAAATGTGAGTTGCCAGATTACCAGGGATTGTATACCAGGGTTGCCAAATCCCGAAATCAAAAAAGCAACCCCACAATTTGGTGTAAGTTTCAATTTTTTTTTATATCGCCGCCATTTCATAAATTTTTTTTCGACCTTAGGCTCTTGTACGGACTATCGCTTTCGGTAAAGGATTTTGTTTTTAAATTTCGTTCACAGTGAAAGTCGTAATCATTAGAACAGTAGTTTTCTCAGTACATAGGCTAATATTTTTAAAACAGTAGATATAGTATGCCCTTAAATTGTTTAGGCTTATTATAGTTGTTTATGGAAATATTATTTTTTATTAAAAAATATTTGTTATAAATTTTTTGTGTATCTTATTCTATATTATTTAAAAATATTTATTTTCGAACGCAGTTCACAGAAATGCCAACAATATTACATCACGAACGCATAGCCTTAAAATTTTGCCTCATTTCACATGCATTTACCGTATACCTTCAATAAAGCATTATATGCTTTATCACAAGTCAATTTCAAAAGTGAAGAGCATTATTTGGCTCGCTTTCGAAGAGCGCTTGTGCTTTTCCAGTAGCTATCTTTGGTGCGCGAAAAGCTCTTTCTAGAATGCACTCGCTCGCCTACAAAGTGATGACGGCAAAACAGGACATGCCGATTGTAAAGCTGCCTCTGCAAGCAACGAACACAGCACGCAGCATAGCACAATAAAAATGAGTGGCGTTGCGCCAGATGCGCGGTGCGGTGCTGTTGGCAATGGAAGCGGTCTCTATGGCTATGGCCTCTTGTATGCCGGATTCATTGATGCCCAAATATAGGTCAACAATGTGCACTGGGCGAAAAAATCGGATGCAACGGATCGGCGAACAACGAAGTAAACGATAAACGACAAACGAAACGGTACGAAACCGACAACAAATAATTTAAATACATGTTTAGTGGAAAATAAATTGCTGATGTGCTGCCGCAATAAACGGAAAGTGAATATGGAGACGTTTGTAGGGGCGCTGCTGCCTAGAAGCGCACGAATGCAATGGAAAAACGTGCTCAACAGATGTGGCTGCGGAACAGTATGAAGTTAAGAAAATATTATTTAATATATTGGCAGGGGAAAATTGATTCTTTGGTAGCAGTAAGCGCCTACTTTCATGCAACAAATATGGTATTGACAAAAAGTTAAGTATACGCCCAGGTAGTGGCTGTAGTATATACTATTGCCGGTATTAAATGCTTATATCTATATATCATTATATGAAATACAGTGGTGTGAAAAATTACACATCACCAAAATTTTAACTGTTATTTAAAAAATCCCGATTTGCAGGGTTAATGTGTGAGTGGTGCCTTGTATTGTCATGATTGAACCGCAAGCCAGCCAACTGTTGGTAAAATGCTTATGCACATGGCACTGTATGCACACGTACACGTGTGAATTTATGTATATTGCTGGTTTGTGGGTGACGCACCCGTGTACACACAACTAACAAAACCATCGTTATGGAGCTCGTTTCGAGCGCTCGCAGTTTGTGGTGCGACTGCAATGGGGGTACGTGGCGTACGGGCGTGTGAGTTGATTTCACATGTCAGCGCGAAAGCATGACATTTTATTAGGTCAGGCATGCAGTAAAAATGCTCTGCTCGCTTTTACCGTTCCGATGTGTGCGCAAATGTTGAGGTGTGCTTACGAATTTATGCATCCGTGCCGAGGTGAAGAGTTGTAATCCGGCGAAATGTTTGTTTGTCAATGCATATGGCGTGTGCACATATTTGTGATTACACAGTTATACTTTTTAGTGCAAAAGTTGTGCTATGAAATTATGTATTCGCGCCACTTTCTCTACTATTCACCTTATAACGGCGACTTATGCGCACATCAAATCGTAATTCGTGTTATGCTTTTTCTTCCTCTGTTCCTTTTTGCCGTTATTGCTTAGGCGTGCGTGTAAGTTCGCAACGCTATCTTCTTAGCGTGATTTGTATATTGCGCAATATTTACGGCTTTGCGATGCCGCTGGTAAGCAAAATACGTTTTCCTCTCAGCTTTTCCAATCTCCTGCTTAATATTGTTCCTTATCGCTGCTATGGCACTTTTAATAGCGCAAAACTTGGAATATAGAGGAAAGTGAAGTGGTTGTCGTTGACGATGGCTAAAGCGTGAAGTGTTTAATTGGCAGTTGTATATTGTCGAGTAAATATGGAAGTGTCCTTCTTTGCGGATTTTTGTAGTTGCAGTTATTAAAGTTGCTTTGGTGCGTTTGTCTTTATTATCATTATTAAGGTTTTGAAAGTCTCTGTTTTCTAAACTTAAGCCACTTTTCGATACCCACTAATTCAAATATAATAAAAGTCAAGACAGTTTAGTTTGACGGCTCAGTTTGTAAGACAGCCATATACTATAGTGATCCGATATCGACTTCTTCGGAAAAAAAGTACGTGTGTAAAATTTAGGAAATGGTCTCTCCAATAGAGTGGAGTTGTTCCTCTCCTTCCCCCGGCTGGTACGGTACTGCGTCGAATACTTCCAAAGCTGGACTGTTTTCATGCATTCCGACGACATGAACTAGCCAGCGCAGCCGTCATCTCTTAATTCGCTAAACTACGTTAATGTCGCCTTATAACACGGACTGCTCATCGTCGCATAAAATGCAATATTCGCCGTGGCCAACGCGCAAACGGCCATAAGTCTTCCGCAGAACTT